GTTTAATTTGCAAAACTGAAAATCTGAGTGCTGCTCCGAAAAGCATCTTTGTGAATCGAGACCTCAGCTGACTGATGCAGAACAGTGTTGGGTTTTTATGACATAAGAAGCATCACACCTCACTGCTGTGTGTTCCGGCTCCACCGACTGTCTGCTGACTGATTGTAGTGACTGTCTCTACAAAGAGGAATGAAACTTGTTCCCATAGAGCTAAATGGCCCCCCCCTCCCCCTCGCCCTCCCCCTCCCCCATCCTCTCAACTTTGGAAGATTTATTGTTTAGAGTACTAAAGTGAGCCTCTCTGTCCTCTGTTGTGTGTGTGTTCAGCTGGGATGACAGCAGCTCTGTGAGCAGCGGCATCAGCGACAACATCGACACCGATGACATCAACACCAGCTCCTCCATCTCCTCCTACGCCAACACGCCCGCGGCACAGCGTAAGGGCCTCAACACACAGGTAAGACTGCACACACACACACACACACACACACACACACACAGTTTTTTTGATGTGTCACATGTTGGGATAGCCAGCTGCTTTCCCTTTTACATTAGAGAAGAGTGTTACCTGACAAAACCTGAGCTTCAGTTGTTTTAATATCAGTGTTTGGGAAGCTAAGTCTTAATAGATCAAGTTAAAGATTGAAAAGGATTTGGATTCAATAAGCAGATTTGATAATGCATCCAGATTTGATGAAATTCCCCTTGTGCCCTTACTAGACGCCCAAAAGAACAACTACAAGGTTCCTCCAGCAAATAGTTGCTTAAACATGTTGCTGCCTTACAGATGTCAGTGACTTTATTTTGGGCAATTCACAACAATGATTTGATATTAGCAAAAAGTGTTTGAGCCGAGTTCATGAGTTGTGATGTACAGTGACGTTTTTAAAAACGTTCCTGAACATTGCATTCAAATGCAAAAAGTAAGTTTTTCAGAAAGACGCAAACAGACCATATTTCTTTTTGTTGTCAGTTGCCTAGCAACAGCGTTCACACAACAACCATACCCTCAACTTCTCACGACAAAAATATGATCACTAGTAATTTGCAGCAGCAGAGAGGCAACTAACAGGAAATTGTTTACATTATCAATGATTGTTCATTGATAATTGTTTGGCTGAGCGGTCACGTTAGCAACATGGCTACCGCTGTCAGCCTGGCTGCTGTCCAAAGCAAGCTGTAGGAATCTTAATCTCAACTACAAACCCTGATCTCGATGCTGATGTAGCAGAGGGCCAACAGAACCCTCTCTGAGCTCTCTCCATAGTCGGACTGACCCGGGACAAAGCCCGCTGGTCCACCACATTGGTGTGCCGAAGGTAACTCTTGTTTTCGGTTTCTTTCTGTTGTCAGTTTAAGCAGCAAATTACATATAACATTGAAAAGGGTTGCAGGAAGTATAAACTATATGTAGCAAACTCTTCTTTCATACATCTACATGGTCGTCCCTCCGCTTTGCTTCATTTTCCTAAAGCCGGTCTGTCCCTGCATTCCTGCACTCTCAGAGAAGAATGTGAGACTCACAGAGCTAAAGCTGATGTTGACTCAGGCCTCAAATCACTAAACACTGATTAGGAGCCACTACGGTTCAGTAAGGTGATCGGTGAGACGATAATATTGTCAGCTGACTCACTTGAGTTCGACACACACATGTGCACACACACACACACACACACACACACACACACACACATACACTATATTGTGTCTGAACTGGAGCCGGTCATCATGTGACGTGTGTCTATTACAGCTGCAGAGGTCAAGGTGCTGAAGAAAAAACAAAGGAGAGTACAATGGAGTCTTTCTCTCAGTACAGCAGCTCTGACACGGTGCAGCTTAATAAACTCTGCCTCATCTCTCCTCTGGTAATGACACACGTTGGCTGGACCGTGCTGCATTTTTGTAGCGTTGCCTGGACGACTGCAGAGCTCGAAAGCAGCCGTCATCCCTTAAACAGCTGTAATTTACTGTGATAGTTAAATAAAGGCTATGGCGAACTGGCTATGTTATACTTTTATTTGAAACAGCAAAACCTTCACAAATGAGTTAAAAGAAATTCTAAGTGCAGCAGTAAATTGCCTTCAGTGTGTTTTCTGTTTTAAACAAAGTCATGAATTTATAAAACTCTGCTGCAGGGACCGCCGCTGTTTGTGCACTTTTTTTTATTGTAAACTTGTTTGAAGGATAAAAAGAAAAATATCAATACAGTCTGTAAAGAACACCTGATGCTGTCTTACTTAATACTTGTGCCAGGATTTTACCAGGGGCTGTATACATACAACTTTAAATGCTTTAATATTATTTCTGTTGCTTTGAAATGGCAATTAGCAGAGTAAAAAACACTGTTAGCACAAGTTTGAAGAGAAAATATTTAAAGACACCTCATTCAAAGACCTGAAAAACTGGAATCTCACAATTTGCCCAAAACTTCAAGTTCAAGTCTTTTTCTTAAAAACATGAGCTTCTTCTCTCACATTTCACTGAACCAGGAGAAGTGTTTCTGCTCAGGCCTCACGGTGCAGGCGCTAGCTGCAGCGTCACGGTCGGTGCAGTTCTTTCTAATGTGGTCAAACAGCTTCCTGATGAACTGCTCAGGTGACGGTGGTGTGGACGCTGGTGGGATTACCCAGCAGGATGGTTGTGGTCATAAAATGGAGTGCTTTTTAGAGCCACTTGGCAATGTCTCATAAAAGACGCTTTCTTCAGCAGTAATAAATCTGAGTGTGTGTGTGTGTTCCCAGCCCGTGACGGATGCAGAGAAGCACTCGGCCTCCACAGCGTTGCACCAGGCCTGGTCAGGAGACGAGGTGAAGAGGCCAGACGGCGGGTCAGACAGCGGGGTCAGGATGGAGCCAGGCTCCAAATGGAGCCGCCGGAACCCCTCCGACATCTCTGACGAGTCTGACAAGGGCGGCTCGGGGAGAAAGACCCCCTCCGTGTCGCACACGGGCTCCTGGAGGAGAGGCATGAGCGCTCAGGTTGGGGTGACGTCCCCCCGGACTAAAAGCACGAGCAGCACAGGCTCCACGGGCTCCAGCAGCCTCAAGACCCACAGTTCAGGTAACACAGACATCCACCACCAATTACAGAGAGGCCATTTCTTCTTCCTAGCTGGTATCATTCTTTGTCTCCTCGCCTCTTAAATAAAGTTACAAAAATACATTCAACTACATAGTAATATAAATATGAAATGAATTGCTTATTTAGTGGGTTTACTGCCACGACTTAAATTCTGAAAACCTCTTAAAGAAAAAGACAGAAAAGATTCATTTACTAAAACCTTCTAGTCTTTTCTGGGCTGAGGACAAATGAAAAAAACAAACACACACCCTGCTGATGTCTCCTTCTGTGTGACCTGCAGGCAAGACGGATGATGTCAAGGTGTCAGAGAAAGGACGTGTCTCTCCGCGTTCTAACGGCCTTCACCGCTCGCCCTCAGACGCAGGACGCAGCAGCGGCGATGAGGCGAAGAAACATTCGATCTCCAGCAGCCGCACGCCGACAACGAACGCCCTCACGCACACCGTCTCGGACCCCCACTCCCAGACGCACACACTCACCTCCCGCACCCCAACCAGCACCTTCGGCTTTAAGAAGCAGGGCCCTGGGATGGTAACCATGGTTACGGCTAGTGGTGCCACTATCACCAGCGGTTCAGCCACCCTGGGGAAGATGCCCAAATCTGGTGCGCGCTCACTGGCAGGAAGCCTTAAAGCTGGTGGGCAGGACGGAGGGTCTGCACTGGGTCACCATGACGATGGTTTCCTCCCCATGAGTGCCCGCTCCACGCTGCAGTACCGCAGCCTGCCCAGACCCAGCCGCTCAGGAGCTGCCGCCCGCAACGGAAACCGCTCTTCCACCAGCAGCATCGAAGCCGCCGTGCTCTCTGTCACGTCTCACGGCAAAAACTCGATCAGCATCGCCAAGGCCAACGGCTCAGGAGGGCTGCTGGCCAATCAGACGGATCGGGAGAAGGGCGTCTCTGAGATGGACAACCTGAGGAGCGGGGTCACGATGCAGAGTGGAGGAGCAGCGACTGTTCCTCTGACAGGAAGACAACAGGTTTCTTCACCTACACTACGCAGGTGAGCACACACACACACACACACACACACACACACACAAACACACTCTTTTACAGATCATTTATAATGTCAGTAATCCTGTAGACATAGTGACGGCTAACAGATGAGCCACGCTGAGTGGGGCTCTCCTGTATGGGCTTGACTTTACCCACATATTGTACACATACACACACACACACACACACACACACACACACACACACAGAAGACCATTTTAAAAACAGTAATCACGTAGTCACAGTAAATGATAAGAAGTGGTGAGTAAGGATCACACGTGTGGGCTTGTTACACACACACACACACACACACACACACACACACACACACACACACACACACACTCTTTCTCTCTCTGTTTCTCTCTCTCTTTCTCAGTGAGGTTAAATCAGGCCATTGTGAATGCAGGCCTTGAGCTGGGCTGATCAGCTGCCAAGCCTCAGCCTTGGTGGTGGTGGTGGGGGGGAGGGTGTGGTGCAGGGTAATGGGAGCTGAGTCTTACCTCAGCGCTCTGCCCTCATTAATGTGAGGGAGTGATAACTCTTCAAAGAGGCTGTGTGCTGCCATTATCGCCCACCACGGCTCCAGTCATCACAGCCTGCCATTTAACTCTAACTCAGGATTAGCAGAGAACCAGGAGGGAGTTCTGTGTGTGTGTGTGTGTGTGTGTGTGTGTGTGTGTGTGTGTGTGTGTGTTCCGAGCACTGACTCTACTTTCTCTGACTGCAGGCCCGCTGCTGTCTTTCTTGTTCCATGCAGAGTAAAGAATAACACCAGCGGCAAACACACTGCGTTCAGCGCTTTGATCCAGAACAGTCATGAATATTTACATGAAATTTGTTGTTAAATTTGCTGCTAATATTCAAAGTCCCTGGAGGAGAAACCCTAACGATTTTGGTGACCTCCCTCTTACCTTCCTTTTTTCAGGATAAAAATTCCAATTAATCACAAGGAAACACGGGTTCAAAAGAAATAATTAATAAAAAGATGTAGACAGTAATTCATTAAATTGGAAAGAGAATGTTTTTATAGAACATCACGGCCTTTCTTCTGGGTTAATACTCCTTTATTAATTGATTATATGACGTGTTACAATCTCAGAAATGTGTGACATTGTAAATTTGTCCTGTTGGTCACAAATGGGAGATTACACACCTTTATTCCTGATCTTGTATCAGTGCTTTGACCCAACTTCACCTCTCTCTCTCTCTCTCTCTGTCTCTCTCACCCTTCCTCCCCTTCCTCCCCTTCCTCCCCTTCTTCCTTGATTTTCAACAGGTTGTTTGGTGGGAAGCCCGGTAAACAGGCTCCGGTCACCACGGCTGAAAACATGAAGAACTCCACCGTTATCTCCAACCCCCACGCCACCATGAACCATGTGGCCACGGTGCTGGAGTCCCCTGATGCAGGGCTGGGGGGCGGGGACAGCGAGACCAGCAGCCCCCTGTTCGGAGGCAGAGCGCTGGGGTCGGGGACGGGGACGCTGGGCAGCGAGCAGGTGAGAGGATTGGTGTGTTTGTGAACTCCTAGAAGATTATTGATCTGTTATTCTCCACAATCAATTGTATGATTTAAAAAAAAAAAACTACCAGCGTTGTCTAAAGAAAACAGTGTTTTTCTTTATTCTTGTGCTTTAAACTCACTGCAGTGGCCTGGTTTATTTTTAGAAGTCTGCCACAGGAGGAGCCGCTTATTTATTTGTCACACTGTGGACATCCTCCAACTGCCCACCACCCATTACTCACTGTGAAAAGAGGGAAAGTGTTTGTTTTTTTTTCGTTTATTTTGGAGTTGTATATGAGTTCTTTTTAGCCGTGCTAAGGCAGTGTCTGTCTGTCGCTCAGTCCACCACTTTGGTCCAGACTGAAATATCTCATCAGCTGCTGGAGGGATTGCAATGAAATCTTTCTACAGACATTTTGATGGTGCCTACAGGATGAAACCTGCTGACTTTGGTTATTTCATTCAAGGGTGAGATGTTGATATTTGAGAGGTTGATATTTGTAGTGTAATAGGAGAGTGTAATATCTAAACAACTATTTAATGCATTGCCACGGAGTCTGGTGCAGATATTGATTTTCCTTTCATGTCATTTTCATGTCACACTACATGTATTTTACTGTCCTCCTCCACAGAACTAACTCACCACATATGATCTTTAGAGCCACTGTCTTTTCACACATCAGCTAAACGGTTCCTGGTCAACTGTCAAACCTGCTGGTTAAGTTCTGTTTTAAGATTAAAAATTATTGTGTGCCCTTGGGCTTAGAGGTGATTAAGTAAGTGTTTGCGTTGGATGTGGGAAGGTGTTTGCAGAGCTAATGACGAGGCTTTGGCGGGGACACAAGGATGATCTTGGTCTCACCTGACTAATGCGACAAACTTCCTTGGAAGTACGGATGGACAGTGTAGACACTTGTTTGACGAACTGTAGGCTACATACTGACGCTGGGCAGAAAGGTGTGAGCGTGCCCAGTCATGAACTCTACATCATGTTCTCACATGATTCATAAGGTTTTTTCAGACATGTTATGAATCATAAAGTGACACATCAGGCATTGTTTTTACAAACAGTGAGCAGGAGCTCAAAAGTGTGGAGAGTCAGTTATTTCAAATCAAACAGACCATCAAACAGAAGGGGAAACTAGAATTGAATTGATCAGGGCTGCAGCTGATGAATGTTTTAATGATCAATCACATGATCTTTCTAAAGTCAGAAAATGGTGGAAAATGCCACAGAGCCCAAGGAGATATCTCTACACTACACACTCTCACTTATGATAAATTGTTTGACGACTAGAATAGATTCGGAAATCAATAACCTCAAATCAATCCTCTCCACCCATCCACAGGCCTCCAGTCCCGGCTCGGTCTATTCCTCCACCGGCCCCTCCAACAGCCTCACTTGGGGCACCACCTTCAGCAGCTCCTCCGCCCAGAGCAGGGAGAGCACGCTGGGCGGGCACGGTGGGACGGGCAGCGTGGGCTACCCCTCCGTCAGCAGCATGCACACCAGCAGCGAGTCCATCGACATGAGCCTGGGCAGCGGCGGCCATGGCACCCACAGGGAGGACACCCTGTCCGCACTGGGTCGCACTGGCAGCGTCAAGACTGGCATGTCTGAGAGGTGAGGACACACAATAGTGGCGAGTTTTTTGGAATTTCCATTTAAAAAGAAAATCTCCTTTCCTTTTTTTTTTTTTAAATAAAAAAAAAAACCTCATCTGTTCTCCAGTTGCATCTTGCCTTCATTAGTCTGGTGTACAGGCTTCTTTCCAGATCCTTTACACACAATCTGTTACGAAGTGTGATTCATGAATTAATGTGACTTTCCAAAAGTTGCATGAACTAAGTAACAGAAATACTTCGTTCTGATAGACTCTTTGCACTTTGCTGTGTGAGTATAGTTACTGGAAGTATGACATCAGATTTAAGGACTTTCCAGGCCTTATTCCCTCAAATTCAAGGGCCCAACACAGATAATGTGAGACACAACCCTATGAATTTTTATAATGACAAGTAACAGGCTAAAAGTTTATAAAAGTAGTTAAAATTAGCGGAACCTCAACCAGCTACAACAATAAATGCTGCTTATACAGTAGGTCCATGCATCACTAATAAAGTAGTGTCAAGTACGTTTCACTTATAAAACTTCAGTAGTTTTTGTTCAGTCAAATTTTGAATGCACTTTGACTTGTAATGAAGTTTTTGATATTTTCACTGAAGTAAAGGATCTAAATACTTCTGTCAGTGACCGTGTTAAAATCCTGCCCAGTTCAGTTCTGACATGAATTCCTTTTTAAAGGATCCGGAATGGAGGTGATGCTCAAAGCATTCGTCACGGCGAGGTGTCGCCTCTTGTTTGCCGTTCTGTCTGCGCTCGAGCACAGAAACAAAATCCCACGGCGTCCTCAGTCTATTATACAGTAATTGTGGTCATTGTAGCAGATTCCATCCTGACAGGTTGACTGTGTAATGTGACAGGAATGTCTCAGAGGAAACTTAATAGCATCTGGAGTCGAAGCTTTGAGGCCATGACATCACCCTCCTCCGCTGAGTTTTCTTTATTAACTGCATTGGTGAAGAATCTCGCAGTTGACTTCAGTTCTGAAGGATTTCTTCTTCTACTTTATTCTCTAAAACTTTCTTTCTCTGTGTCTGTTGTTCGTTTTCCTTCTTCCTGTCCTCCATCAGTCCCCTCTCCTCCCCCTCCGCTAGCCCTATATTCAGCCGAAACACACTACCTCGGAAGCAGGACAGGTAAATGCACCTGTGTGCGGTGTTAGGCTCCTGGTGAAACAGCTGTGGAGGTTCCTACTAAACCACCACCTGCTGCCACACACAAAGCATCACAGAGGACCACAGAGAGTAGCTCTGTGTGCTAGCTTGTTGTATTTTGTGTCTTTTTGTGTGTGGAAGTGTTTTGCTCTGTGTGGTAGTTAGTGGTTATTTTTAGGACCTCTAGCTCCTGTGCGAATGAGAGAGAGAAAATGTGAGGTTGTCTGTGTGGATGTCGGCAGCTCCAGTGCTTTTGTTTAGTGGTCCACTCTAGTCTGTTTTGACTGTGACACACTGCCACCTTGTGGTAGAGTTTATACGTGCAGATTCACCCAGTAGCGTGAACACAGGATGTTTATGATGGATTTTGCACTGCAAAAATCTCAATCTTAAGGATTGTTTTGCTATTTCTGAGTCCTAAAAGTCTTATTTCCTGTAAGCCTTATGTTCAGTAATTAGTCAGTTTGATGAGTCAAATGTTTCATTATTTTCTATAATCAATAATCAAATGTATTTATTCTTTATTCCACTATAGTCGTCTGATTTCTTTCAAGAAAATGTTTTGAGAGGCAGTTTTTCTAATTGTTGAAAGAAAAAACGAGTTTTACAGCTGAATAAGAGACAAAAATTAAAACACAAGATAGAGATTTTCTGCAGTGTGTAAGTTAGGATGTATTTGTGTCAGTAAGAAAAATAATTTTAGTGTTATATAGTTGTTGAGTGGTGCAGCCACATGTTTCTTTGCCTCCTTTCTTCCTTTTCTTTCCACCTCTGAAGTGTTTCTCTCCCACAGCGGGACACATTGTGGTAGAAACACTCTGCCTAAGAAGGGACTCAGGTACAGACTTCACTTCCTGTTGGACATGTTGAGCTTTTGCACACTGGTTAAAATTGTCTTCTGTTTTTCTTTTTCTTTTTTTTTTTTCTTTCTGCGTCTACATTCACTCTTCGAGGCTTGTGCTCACGCTTGTAAAGATGCTTTTGACGTTTATGTTTGGCACCTGTGTTGTTGTGTTGTGCTTCTGTGAAGAGGCATGTCACCTTGTCGTCCTACAGAGCTATCACTGTCTTACGCTGTAGCAGGCTTGATTTCTGGGGGGTCAAATTTTCTTTGGCTTCTGTTCTGCTTTTTTCCCCAGTCTGTGTTGCTCACAGCTGAGAATCAGTCCGTGTTCACGCTGTTGTGATTTCTTGTCTCAGCGTCTGATTCATCTGATGTTAGATCCCGGCTACTAATCTGGCTGCTTGAGGGAAAAAAAAAATCCTTTGATTGTGAAAAGTCTGAAAAATCAGAATCCAGATCGACTTGTCCTGTAATAACATAGAACTGCACTTGTTCTGTTTTGTGTCCTCACTTCCACTTTAACCTCTTCTCTGACTTATTGCAGGTATGGCCCATCTCCACAGCTGCGAAGCCACGAGGAGGCCCGTGATTGGCTGCGCTCCCACTCCACCAGCGGGCTGCAGGAGTCAGCCAGTAACTCCCCGTTCTCCCCGGGCTCCAGCCTCACCTCCCCCTCCGGCACCCGCTTCAACTTCGGACAGCTCGGTACGCCCCAGAACCCAGCACTACACATTTATTTACCCGGGAATCATTTCTTCCGTATGGCCACTGTACAGAAACAAATGAAACCCTTCAGTTTTCATAAACTGAAGTTTAAACGATCTCTAAAGTCAGTGTATCGACCCAAGGTTGTTGTTTTTAGTTCCAAAAAGTTTACGATTAGATTTAGCAGGTTTTTCAAGTGAAAGCAATCACCACACTCGGCTGGATTTAGCCTGATACACATAATGCTCTTGTCATATCATTTCATGTCATCAGTGAATGGACAGAACAGTGATTGATTAATCAATCATTTAAGTCATTTATCCAGCAAAAGGGCCAAACATGTTTTAGTTCCAGCCTCTTAATTGTAAAGATTTGCTGCTTTTTTCTGTTTTATATTGTAAAATTATATGGTAAAATATATATCTTTGGGTTTTGGACTCTTGTTCACACAAAACAAGTAATTTGAAGATGTTACCTTGGACTCTGGGAAAGTCAGACATGTATAGACTAAACTTTTAATAAAAATATAATTTTATAATTTCCTGTATCACTTTACAGCATCCAGCCCAACCTCTGCAGCTCAGATCAACATCGCCGGTCTGCGCAACAACAGCCTGACCAATCAGGACGCCCCCTTTGACCCCTGCAGCGACAATCGACTGAGAAACTCCTGCATGTCGCTCGACGAGAAGACTCGCACCATGAGCCGGTCGGGCTCCTTCAGGGACGGCTTCGAGGAAGGTAAGAGGAGACAAAAGACGGATGGAGGAATAGAGTCATATTCAGTGACTCTGTGTGAGTCCTGGCCATGTTTGCTTCAGACATTTGGCGAAATCTGTAATTAGGTGTAATCCTTTTCTGAGACCTACATGCCCCCTTCTCTCTAGAACTCTGAAGCCTCCCCTTCCTTATTCCACATCGCCATGCCAAAAGAGTTATTATTCCATTTGTTTAGAGAACATTAACACGGATTACAGCCGCTCCTCTAAGAAAAGCCCTCTATCCCCTTAGAAATCCATAATCAGCTTTGGTGTGGCTTTGTTTTTTTCATAAGCTTGTTTATTGGGAAAAGTCCCCAGCAGCGCTTTTCCCACCATCAGGCAGACTCCCTGCTCAGGAGAGGTCGCTCCTCTGGAGTCTGCTCAATCCTCAGAGCCATAGAAACAACACAGCGCTTTGGTTTAGAGAGAGGGAGGAACGGGTTGTACTGTGTTCTCTTAATGGAAAAATCCAGCCTTAAAAACCTCAATGATGTTGGCAGTGAACTTGCATTTCAGTGAACCACAGTGTAAACATTAAACCACATCATAATGCAGCCACAAGACATGTTTGCAAAGTCAGAGTTTCTTTCCTGAAAACGAAAAATATTTCTGTCTCAGCCTGTGTAATCAGCAGGTGAATCCAAAATCCTTTCAACGTTGTCAAAAAAAAAGGCATTCTGGTAAATGGAGTTAATCAATAACTGAAGCAGAGCAGAAAGTCACAGATGAAAATCACAAACTGGTTCATCACCTGACAGTGTGAAAGGATCTAAAGGTAGTTTTTGTCCCTGCAGAGTTGAAGCAGAGACGAACACATGCAACATGAGAGATGGACAAAGACTCAGAGATAAAATCCAGTGACACTGAAATTGGTTCCGTGAAGGCGCCTTAGGGGAGTCAGATGCGTGCGTGTTCTTTAGGAAACATGGGAAATCCAGACTCCTACTTGAAAGCTCAGTGTTTTTTGAGCATCATGTCAGTCTGACCAGATGATTCTTTACATCACTGTTTGAAGCATGTTGCCTTCTTCAGAACAAAAGCCTGTTTTTATCTCAACATATAGTGTATAAGAAAAGGTGTTGCTGGTGTTGTTTAACTTTTATAAAACTGTACTGGCAGCACACGCCAAATACACATGCACAATAACAGAGACTCAAACTTATTATTATTTCCCCCCTCCCCCACAGGAGCATAGTTATATCTGTCTCGCTGTGTTTCCCAGCCCCACGAGTCAGTCTTCCCTTTCAGTGGAGGAGATAATTACAGGGATCAAAGTGAGAGGCGTGAGAGAGAGGTGATGATATACAAGAAACTTCCAACATAACTTTCTCTCTCCCTCTCTCTCTTTCTGTGTGTGTGTGTTGGATCGCAGTGTGTAGGTCTGTGAGGACATGCCGTTTGCGTGTACATGTGTGTGCATTGCTGAAGGGTAGAGTTACCCGACCGTTGTTAGATTGACAGGACAAAAGTCACATCATCCACCCAACACTTTGTCACACCTGTCCCGATGGAGAGCAACACCACTACACACTGTCACCTCATACACTGGCCAAAAACACTCCCACTTACCTTGGTGTACACTCACCCTCCTCTTATGTCTGTACAAACCATATTTGCTGAAAGACACAGTTTATAATCTACAACTACAAACTGAAAGATAGATGAACTTAATCTTTAAGGAGATTAGCAGCATGTACGTTCGTTATTACTTTCTGTTCCCACTTTCTGCAAAGTCACAGTCGTAGAAGTCACAGGGGATTTTTGTTCTGCCTTATAATCTTGCACAACTTCTGTGGATAAAGCCTTATAACCTTCTGCTTTATTTTTATTTTGTTTTTTTAGGATGAGAATCAAATGGTAATTCACAGCTTGCAATGCCGATCAAATCATGTCTTAAAACAATAACAGTGAGTCCAATTTAAAAGATCCTGTCACACATGACCTGCCGTGAATTCTCCTTTTCATGTGGCTCACAGCACACGTTGCCGTCTAGACCAAATTAGAATAAAAGAGTGAGTCCTCATTAAAGTCTTGTCTGCTCCCTGTGAGGTAATTGAGTGAATGACTGAATTTGCTGAGATCAGCCCGACCTCTCGGTGCGGCCGATGACTTCACACTCCTGATCCTCTCTGATCTGCTCCCAGGCGGGAAACAGTGCTGGCGTTGTGTCCTGGCCTCTGATGTGTGATTAGCGGCTGACTCATTAGCAGAGTATTGCTCAGGCTGTCATTAGTTGTGCCACAGTGCGACTGCAGCATGTAGGAGTTTTATCTTTATGACCAAAGAGCTGCAGAGGAAGTGGGCAGGTGGGAGGAACTGGGAACACTGGGAGGACCAGTTGTCGGGTGGGCAGGGTTGAAGCAGGGTGGGTGGTTTCTGTGGGGGGTCTCTTGGTAATTAGAGTAGTGTTGTGTGTACAGATGTACTTTCTAATCCACTCTTTTACTTGTGGCTTCTGTCTCCTCAGTTCATGGATCATCCCTGTCTCTGGTCTCCAGCACCTCCTCCATTTACTCCACGGTGAGTCCATGAAACCAACAGTGAATTAGGGTTTATTGAATAGTTTTTAATCCTGGTGATACCTTCAATACTGATACAGTACAGAAGCAGTGCTGTTTTGTTTTTTATATATGACTTTTTAGGAATATTTTGAGCTTCCATTACATAGTTTGTCCCCTAGAGAGCACTGACAAATGTTAAATATCCTGTTTATGACATATCTGGGTCAAGCCCCTTTAATAATAATGGGATCAAAACGTTTGCTTTCAGGACTTGGTGGTGGTGGCCAAGTGAGTAGAGTAGAAGTAACGTCACTCCGGTTAAGTCCCGACAGGGATCTCTGCTGCATGTCATGTTTCCTAACATAAACTGTATAATACTAATAATAGTAAGTCATAAAAAAGTCATAGTATAGCAATTAATATAAACGTCATAGTATGCTAAGGCATAAAAAGTCAATGTATAGTAAGGCATAAAAACATCATGGTATGGTGAGGTATAAAAAGTCATAGGATAGTAAGGCATCAAAAGTCATAGTAAAATAGGCATAAAAAACATCAAAAAAACGTCATAGTATAGTATGTCATAAAAAGTCATTGTATAGTAAGGCATGAAAAGTCATAATATAGTAAGGCATAAGAATGTCATAGTATAGTAAGGCATAAAAAGTCATAATATAGTAAGGCATAAAAAAGTCAAAACATGTCATAGTATAGTAAGGCATAAAAACGTCATAGTATGGTAAGGCATAAAAAGTCATTGTATAGTAAGACCTAAAAATGTCAAAAAACGTCATAATAGGCCTATATAGTTAGGTATAAAAAGTCATAGTATAGTAAGGCATAAAAATGTCAAAAAAAACATCATAGTAGAGTAAGGCATAAAAAGTCATAGTATAGTAAGACATAAAAATGTAAAAGAAAAAACATCATAGTATAGTAAGGCATAAAAAGTCATAAAAATATCATAGTATAGTAAGGCATAAAAAGTCATAAAAATATCATAGTATAGTAAGGCATAAAAAGTCATAAAAACGTCATAGTATAGTAAGGCATAAAAACGTCAAAAAACGTCACAGTATAGTAAGGCATAAAAACGACACAGTATGGTAAGGCATAAAAATGTAAGAAAAAACGTCATAGTATACTAAGGCATAAAAAGTCATAGTATAGTAAGACATAAAAAAGTCATAAAAACATCATAGTATAGTAAGGCATAAAAACGTCACAGTATAGTAAGGCATAAAAACGACACAGTATGGTAAGGCATAAAAATGTAAGAAAAAACGTCATAGTATAGTAAGGCATAAAAACGTCACAGTATAGTAAGGCATAAAAACGACACAGTATGGTAAGGCATAAAAATGTAAGAAAAAACGTCATAGTATAGTAAGGCATAAAAACGTCACAGTATAGTAAGGCATAAAAACGACACAGTATGGTAAGGCATAAAAATGTAAGAAAAAACGTCATAGTATAGTAAGGCATAAAAACGTCACAGTATAGTAAGGCATAAAAACGACACAGTATGGTAAGGCATAAAAATGTAAGAAAAAACGTCATAGTATAGTAAGGCATAAAAACGTCACAGTATAGTAAGGCATAAAAACGACACAGTATGGTAAGGCATAAAAATGTAAGAAAAAACGTCATAGTATAGTAAGGCATAAAAACGTCACAGTATAGTAAGGCATAAAAACGACACAGTATGGTAAGGCATAAAAATGTAAGAAAAAACGTCATAGTATAGTAAGGCATAAAAACGTCACAGTATAGTAAGGCATAAAAACGACACAGTATGGTAAGGCATAAAAATGTAAGAAAAAACGTCATAGTATAGTAAGGCATAAAAACGTCACAGTATAGTAAGGCATAAAAACGACACAGTATGGTAAGGCATAAAAATGTAAGAAAAAACGTCATAGTATAGTAAGGCATAAAAACGTCACAGTATAGTAAGGCATAAAAACGACACAGTATGGTAAGGCATAAAAATGTAAGAAAAAACGTCATAGTATAGTAAGGCATAAAAACGTCACAGTATAGTAAGGCATAAAAACGACACAGTATGGTAAGGCATAAAAATGTAAGAAAAAACGTCATAGTATAGTAAGGCATAAAAACGTCACAGTATAGTAAGGCATAAAAACGACACAGTATGGTAAGGCATAAAAATGTAAGAAAAAACGTCATAGTATAGTAAGGCATAAAAACGTCACAGTATAGTAAGGCATAAAAACGACACAGTATGGTAAGGCATAAAAATGTAAGAAAAAACGTCATAGTATAGTAAGGCATAAAAACGTCACAGTATAGTAAGGCATAAAAACGACACAGTATGGTAAGGCATAAAAATGTAAGAAAAAACGTCATAGTATAGTAAGGCATAAAAACGTCACAGTATAGTAAGGCATAAAAACGACACAGTATGGTAAGGCATAAAAATGTAAGAAAAAACGTCATAGTATAGTAAGGCATAAAAACGTCACAGTATAGTAAGGCATAAAAACGACACAGTATGGTAAGGCATAAAAATGTAAGAAAAAACGTCATAGTATAGTAAGGCATAAAAACGTCACAGTATAGTAAGGCATAAAAACGACACAGTATGGTAAGGCATAAAAATGTAAGAAAAAACGTCATAGTATAGTAAGGCATAAAAACGTCACAGTATAGTAAGGCATAAAAACGACACAGTATGGTAAGGCATAAAAATGTAAGAAAAAACGTCATAGTATAGTAAGGCATAAAAACGTCACAGTATAGTAAGGCATAAAAACGACACAGTATGGTAAGGCATAAAAATGTAAGAAAAAACGTCATAGTATAGTAAGGCATAAAAACGTCACAGTATAGTAAGGCATAAAAACGACACAGTATGGTAAGGCATAAAAATGTAAGAAAAAACGTCATAGTATAGTAAGGCATAAAAACGTCACAGTATAGTAAGGCATAAAAACGACACAGTATGGTAAGGCATAAAAATGTAAGAAAAAACGTCATAGTATAGTAAGGCATAAAAACGTCACAGTATAGTAAGGCATAAAAACGACACAGTATGGTAAGGCATAAAAATGTAAGAAAAAACGTCATAGTATAGTAAGGCATAAAAACGTCACAGTATAGTAAGGCATAAAAACGACACAGTATGGTAAGGCATAAAAATGTAAGAAAAAACGTCATAGTATAGTAAGGCATAAAAACTCATAAAAATGTCATAGTATAGTAAGGCATAAAAAGTCATAAAAATGTCATAGTATAGTATGGCTAGAAAGTCATAGTATATGAAGGCATGAAAAGTCATAGTATAGTAAGGCATAAAAAGAAAAAAGTCATAGTATAGTAAGGTATAAAAAGTCATAAAAATGTCATAGTATAGTATGGCTAGAAAGTCATAGTATATGAAGGCATGAAAAGTCATAGTATAGTAAGGCATAAAAAGTCATAAAAACGTCATAGTAGAGTAAGGCATAAAAACTCAAAGTCATAGTATAGTAAGGCATAAAAAGTCAAAAAAGTCATAGTATAGTATGGCATGAAAAGTCATAGTATAGTAAGGCATGAAAAGTCATAGTATAGTAAAGCATAAAAAGTCATAAAAAAGTCATAGTATAGTAAGGCATAAAAAGTCATAAAAAAGTCATAGTATAGTAAGTCATAAAAAGTCATAAAAAAGTCATAGTATAGTAACGCATAAAAAGTCACAAAAACGTCATAGTATAGTAAGGCATAAAAAATCATAGTATAGTAAGGCATGAAAAGTCATAAAAATGTCATAGTATATTATGGCATGAAAAGTCATAGTATAGTAAGGCATAAAAAGTCATAAAAACGTCATAGTATAGGAAGGCATAAAAAGTCATAGTATAGTAAGGCATAAAAAGTCGTAAAAACGTCATAGTATAGTAAGGCATAAAAAGTCAAAGTCATAGTATAGTAAGGCATAAAAAGTCTTAAAAAAGTCATAGTATAGTAAAGCATAAAAAGTCATAAAAAAGTCATAGTATAGTATGGCATGAAAAGTCATGGTATAGTAAGGCATAAAAAGTCTTAAAAAAGTTATAGTATAGTAAGTCATAAAAAGTCATAAAAAAGTCATAGTATAGTAAGGCATAAAAAGTCATAAAAACGTCATAGTATAGTAAGGCATAAAAAGTCATAAAAACATCATAGTATACTAAGGCATGAAAAGTCATAAAAATGTCATAGTATAGTATGGCATGAAAAGTCATAGTATAGTAAGTCATAAAAAGTCATAAAAAGTCATAGTATAGTAAGTCATAAAAAGTCATAAAAAGTCATAGTATAGTAAGTCATAAAAAGTCATAAAAA